CAGAATATTGGTTATTCAGCATCCCCCTCTTACACTTTATACTTTCTCTCCGGCTTGTTCCAACATCTTTTGCATATAGCTATTTTTCCTTTTTTTTTTTTTTCTGTACATATAATTCCTTTTTCGCTTCACTGTTTAGTATTCACCTTCCTTCTCATCCTTCTCAACATAATCACTTAATTTCATTATGATAAACGAAGAGATATCTACAATCTTTGTCGTCGGTTTCCCCGACGATATGCAAGAAAGAGAATTCCAGAACATGTTCATCTTTTCTCCTGGCTTCGAGGCTGCTACTTTGAAGATTCCACAAAAGGATTCGTCGGATGATGATGGTCCCGCAAATGGTAACGGCATTGGAAATGGTAATGGAAACGGAATTGTTAACGGTAGCAATGCAAGAAAACAAATTGTACGTTTGAAATACTTATATCATCGTTATAGAATAATATTTTTATTTTTGTTATTTAATGAATATAAATCAGATTGTTGTTATAACTTAAATATTTTATTTAAATTATTAATCACTTTATTTTTACATTTAGATTGGGTTTGCAAAGTTCCGTACTAAGCTTGAAGCCCTTGAAGCTCGTGACATTCTAAGCGGAAGAAAGGTTGATGCCGAAAAAGGGTCAGTTCTTAAGGCTGAAATGGCAAAGAAAAACTTGCACACTAAACGTGGTCTTCCTGGTGATCAAAATACCGCTTATCCTCTCATATCCCCAACCAAACGTTTTCCAACTCCGAGCAATATCAATACCGCTAATGCTACCTATGAAGCCTTCTATTCTGTTCCTCCTCCTCTCGCTCCTCCACCCTTACCAAGTGATCTTCTTTCTCCTCAGGATTATGGTTATGATTTTTATTCTGATGTGAGTGTATATACTCCTACAACGCCCACAACCCCTGTGTTCCCTGATCAAACTCCTTTCTCTTCTTCGACTCGTGGTTCTTTTGATGCTGCGAATGGTTTGGTTGGTGCTACTTCACGTCCTCGATATATTACTACTAATAGTACTAAGGGAATCTTTGATAATGAAGATATTAACTACCTTTCAAAATCTAACCCTGTTGAAATTGTTTCTAAAACCGTAAAGACTCCAACAAATGGCTTTAATTCTGCTTTGCTTGTGAATGAAGACTTGCCACTCGCAATGTCTCAACTATCCATTAACACTTCAGCTGTTCCTCCATCCGTCGTCTCCTCTTCTCCATCAGTCTCTTCTCCTGGTTTTCGTCCTCCAAATCCAGCTGATCAAAATCCTCCCTGTAATACTCTTTATGTTGGAAACTTGCCAATGAATACTTCCGAAGATGAACTTAAACAATTGTTCTCTCGTTGTCCTGGTTATAAACGCATGTGTTTTCGAACTAAACAAAATGGCCCCATGTGCTTTGTTGAATTCGAAGATGTACATTATGCCGCTCAGGCAATGAATGAACGTTATGGCAACCCTCTCAGCAATTCTGTAAAGGGTGGAATTCGGTTGAGTTTCTCGAAGAACCCGTTAGGTGTACGTAGTAGCAATAATGGCAATGGGCTTAATGGTTTTAATGGTGAAAGACGAGGTTCCACATATAGCTTAACTGATCGTAGAGATTCTACTTTCAGTTTGGAACGTCGGGATAGCACATACAGTTTAACTGATCGCAGGGATTCTTTTAGTTTGGACAGACGTGATTCTACCTTTAGTTTTGGAAGCAGTTCTGGACCTACTTTTACTCATGCAGAACGATTTAATCTAGATCGTAGAGATTCTTTTTTAGCGTCTGAGAGGAGGGATTCTTTAAGGGATCCCTTTTTCCCGCCCGAACGGAGGGATTCCTTCTCATTTGATCCTCAATTGGCATAATCAATTTTTGGTCAACTGAACTTAATTTTTTAATCTTCCTTTGTCTGTACGAAGGACTTATGTTTTTACTGTTTTTGCTGTTTTTGCGCATATATCATACTTTTCATGAAGGACAATGGAAAATAATATCCGTATAATCAACGCATATCTCATCTAGATTTTTGCAGACAGAATTGTCATGAAATTCTAAAATCATATAAATCGAACTTTTTATTAACTATAACTACATTTCTTATTGTTTTTTCCTTTAATCAAATTGTTTATTTTTTCTGTAAATTTGTTTTTTTAGGTTACGTTTTTCTTTTATTTCCCTTTGCATATGTTTCAAAAAAAAAAAAAGATCGATCAATAAAAATTTGTAGAAATCACAAAGGTTGATTTTTCAAAGTATTGATTTGGAATTTATCTTTGTCTATTTAAATTCAATAAAAATAATGCTATGAATGTATATCAATGCTTGTTTAAATCGTATGAAATGTCGAACATCTATAACATTTCACTTATTTTTATAAAAACAACATTGTGGAAAGATGTTTACTACTAATATAAATTTTACAAATATATTATTTAAATCTAATGGAAAATCCAATGTATCTAGATAATATGTAGCAGCGCACTCAGGATATTTAGATGTATGCATATATAAGCTAAAACACTGGTGAAGAAACAATGAATAAGCTGTCTTCTTCCTTTTTTATCCATCTTAGCAACGTATGAGATGAGGATGTTAGTGCAGACTTCGACATCAGTGGACCAAACGCAGCGTAAAGCTCAAAGCTACAAGTTATCTGAGTTTATTCAAAAGAAAACGTATTATAAATGAACATATAACTAAAATCAAATTTATAACTAAAACAAGTGTATTGACATACCCATCCTAATATTGTTTCAGTGGGACTAACGTAATAATGAACTTTAAGAGGTCTCAAACGTGAATGCATTCGGTCATGAGTGTAACGATATAATTTAAATAACCTGGAATTATTAATTAAATATTAGTAAGAACCATCAAATAATATAGAATGCGTCAATTAATATCTCACTTTTGTTTTTCTCGAGGGTCATTATAAGGTGTAACAAAGGTCGGTGAAGTATACTGTACGTGCATCCTCGATTTATAAATAAAATGACGCAAGCCTGGAACACCGATATCAGCTAATTAAACAATGGACAAAATAAATATCAATAAACAAAAAATTTTACTATGTCAAAAGATATGATTTAGTTACCAATAGAGTAGCCTTCGTTTTGTGATGCCTCTTCAATCTCTTGCAAAGCGTTGCAAGCAGACAATTTCTATATTAAAACCAAAGTTCAGCCTGA